TGCAGACCAGCCCAGCTCCTCCTTGCTGTCGCGTTTAAATCAATTTGCGCTCGCATATTTTGTGGATGAGCATGAAGATGGGCTTGGGCTCCAGGTCCCGCTGCTGCTCCTGCTCCTGCTGTTGACTGGCAGCGGAAAGTGAAAAGTGCCGTTGACAGATTTTCTTACTTTCGGCTTGCTGCTGTCAGCCCCCCTTCCCCCTGACTCTTCATCGACCAGAACACACGCCACGCAGCACTCCAACTCCCTCCCCGAGCGGAGGAAGGCGATGGGGGCTGACAGGGGAAACGCTACGGCATGCCGCAGACACTGTAAAATGTATGAGAATAAAAACGAAAATACGTAACTAGCAGAAATATGCGCGACTTTTCCACATGGGTATTTTGTAGTCTAAGTAAGAAAATGGGCGAAATGTTGTGTGTGGGCGTGGAAATGGCTGTCTCGTGGAGCTCTTGCGCATTCCAAAGTTTAAAGACAACGATTTCTGTGCTAAAAAGACTTGCATAGCTCTTATTATTATTATGCATTAGTCACTTATTGCGCGCCTTGCGCGCAGTCAACGCTTTAGGCGACTATCCCAATAATAAAGAAGTATATATATATATAAACATATATGGGATGTATGTTATATGTATGCATAAGGCTTATCAGCAGCAGTTATAGTCGCTTGGCTTTAATGAACAACAAGCAAACAACGTCAAACAAGAAGGGTACCCCGCAAGGAATCGACTTAAATATACCCCAACCGAGTGGGTGTATGGTCTTATGAATGTCTTATTAGATTGTACTTAAGATAATACTCCGTAAAAACAAACAGTTAAAAATAAATTAACTAGCAAAAAAATTAAATTTTACTGGAGTTGAACCATGGTTTTCTCTAATCGCCAGGCGACCGACTTATTGTCTTTTAATTGGCAAATAAAAGAAAACATTTGTCTGACTTAAATTTTAGTGGAGTTGAACCATGGTTTTCTCTAGTGCCAGGCTCCCTTCACATGAATTTATTTTAAATATATAGGCAATAAGAATTAAATGGTTTTGAGCGAGAAGAAATGCAACAAGTTACGTGATTTTTGAACAAAATTTAACATTTCAACTTAAGTGGGGACATTCACTTCAATTTGATGACTAAGTGCAATAGTTCACTTTCACGTTGTAAACTAAATAGATGATTTGATTCACTCGTTTAATTGCTCAGTCGGTCATGAGCGCTGCATTCCAAAGAACTGAGCAAAGTGAATAGTTCATGACCGCTTGAATGAATGAATGAGTAAATTAAATGAGCGATTCAGCTCAAACATTTAATAATTCATTTTGATAAGCCGTCCCACTGACTAGATTTGACAATTTTCAGCTCAAATATCAGTCAATGAGACCCATTCAATATTTTGACACCTCAACCGTATGGCTGGCTTTGCATACCCTTTGCCAATCAATGCGGTAAGGGCACAATTATAATCAGCTGTCAGAGCAGGCGGTAGTCATAAATCTCTAAAACGTAGCCAAAATCAATTGGGCGTAGTAAGTTTCGACTTTTCATTGGGGGCTTTACGTCACGGCCCAGAGTCACGGCGCTGTCATCAGGTGGCGCAGCGGGAAGTGGTGTGCGCTTTTTGGGAGCTTCGACTTGGACGTTTGATTGTTATTATTAACACGTGACTGAAATGCGGCTAATTCAAGCGAAAATTTAATTAAAAATTCTGCGCTTAATAACTAAAGTGCCAGTGCGCGGCGGGCTGCACAACGAAAGGGACCTATAAATCTACACCCTGAGAAAATACCCCAATGTTAATTCTTTTCAGACAGACACAAGAATTATTAAAAATATATATAAGAAAATTTAATTTAAATAATTTACAAAAATTTCGATGTACTTCGGAGTTGGAAGTTTGGGAAAATTCGATGAATTTTCTTCGAGTGTAAGGGCCAGACGTGACTTGAACAGCTGATAGGGGACGGGACGTCGGTTGAAAGTTGTCCGCATGATGTTGTTCATTTTGCTTATGCCTTGTAAATTGATCAATGGTCACTTTTGTTGTTGCGGTAGAAATTTCCAAGGAATTTCCTCGTTTTATGGGCACCATTTTTAATTACGGCCCAGCGGTCGTCTTTGCCATTGGGGTAATGGATAAGCCTGCGTGCCAGCGTTGTCCGGACAACAATGGATTGAGAATGGGCAAATCGTGAAAGAGCTCGCCAAGTTTGACCAGCGGATGCAAGGGCGACGGAAAGTGAGAAGAGTCGGGCTCATGCCTGACGCATTTTATCGATAACATGACATAACATTTTTAATGTCAGTTGATTAAGTGCTGCACATGAGAAGCGCCGAGACGGGAGCCAGAGAGTAGATAGAGCTATGCTTAAAACGACAGAAGCCTATTAAATTCCAGCTAAGGCATATTGTTCAGCTTATGGCATGTTTATTGTCAATGGATTTGAGAAGCGCAAAGAGAGGCGCTTGGGTAGATTTAGAACAATGCCCGAAACGACAGCAACATTATGAATTCCAAAATTAAAACAAACTTTCAACTCAATTACAAAAACCATTGAAATACAAATTGCTAACAAAGACAAGCGAAACAATGCAAAACTGAGATAGAGATAAACCAGAGACAACAGAAAAACAGAGAGAGAAACAGCCAGAGAGCGAGTGTGCAGGATGGCAAGGCAATTGCGATTGCGATTACGAGTAAAGTCCAAATGCATTTACCAAGTGGCTGTCCAGACTCTGCCCCCGAAACGCACACGAAAGGCCAAACCGAAAATCCAAAAACAAGACCAATCCTCTGGCCAATTCCCTGGCCAGGCACATGCTTCAAATCGCTTCGGTTGTCGCTGCAAAATGAATTTCCTGCTATTTTTAGACATTATTATTGTTATTTTGTTTTTATTATGCCCTTGTATTGAAGGCATAAAAACTAGCTAGTTAAATGTGCCATAGTCATACTCTCACATCCGTATTTTTGTGGAATATAGAACATAATTCGAAGACTGCTGCATCGGACCAATATATCATATAGCTGCAATTGGAAAAATCGCTCAAATATTCTAATATATGTCTAGAACCGCCTACTATTAAGCTACATCATATCATACATGGGAACAATTGGACAATAACTGAATGTCAATATAAACAAGTAAGAGTTTCTAGTCGGGAGCTCCCGACTAGGGGATCCCCTGAACCCTCTTCTTCCAACATCAAATGTATATATATATTCTATTTTAGAAGCTATATGTCAAGTTCGGTGTGTCTAGCTCTTATTATTTACCAAAATTGCCCAAAAAACAGGATATCGATATCGATTTTTATCGATTGCTTGGAAACGGAGTAAGCTATCGATTATCGGAAATAAACTCGATCTGCGCGGGAACTAGGAGCACCTACATCTAATATTTCAGTCTCTAGCTCTTATAGGTTCTGAGATCCTTGCATTCATACATACGGACGGACAGACGGACGGACGGACAGACAGACGGACACGGCTAGATCGACTCGGCTATTGATGCTGATCAGAATATATATACTTTATGGAATTGGAGATGCTTCCTTCTGCCTGTTACATACATTTGGATTTCGCACAAATACAATATACCCTTATACCCATTTTTAATGGGTTCAGGGTATAAAAAGCCCAGCATTTTTTTCGATATTCCTAGATGTGAACATTATTTAATCAAAATCGTAATACTATATCATACTAAGCTCTTCATATAAATTGTTTATTAATGTGATATATATCTAGCAAAAATTAAATCTTCTAGAAGGGTATTGAATCATCGGCAAACGTATCCCTTATTTCTTTGGTTTATTTTTTATTTTTTTGGCTTTAGTTTGGTTGCATTTTAATGGTTATTTGTTGTTATTGTTGTTATTATAGCTGCAGTTCCTGGCACGGCATTCTGCGCTTAAGGAGGCGTGGCAAACAGTGGGTTTTGTGGTTGTCCCTGAGGGGCACTTGCCACGGCAGCTGCCGAAGTCAAGGCGTACTTTGGATATGAATTGCCTGACGGCCCGGTTTATGCCGCTTCAGTGTGTGTGTGCGTGCAGGGCAAACTTGCCATGGCTGGCAATTATTGCAACAAAATGCAAAATTTTGCGCACCCAATTGACGCCAGATGAACTTGACTTGACTGCCAGGCTGCAACATTGTGAAGGATTATACAGGAGTACAGGCTTCTTATGCCACTGGCAGTGCTAATGAGTCAAAATTGGGCGTTAAATTAGGGCCAAATGTTGGCAAAACTAATTGTTAGCTAAATAATTGCCTTTGAAAGCTTTGAAAGTAGTTTAAAATGAGTTAAAAAGCTGTTCTTAACTTTGTTGAAGACAAGAAAGATTCTCGAACAACTTTTGAAATCAAAAAGGAATACATTTTTTCACTTCTGAATCTATAGAAAAATTGTAAAATCAAAAAGAAATATGTTTTAATATTAACTAATATTCAAGAGCAAAAGAGAAATATTGATTCTCTTAAGTCTCAAAATTAAAATTCCTTTCCTGCATATAGCACACTTGCAATATTTTTCTCTATTTATCACATTTTAGGAGTAAGATGCTGAAGAGATTTTGCTTTTATATCAGGAACATAATGACGCTCATAATTTTCATCAGGACTTAAAGGTGAGACTAATTTGCATAAAAACAGAGCAAAAGATCGACATGGTTAATCAAGATTGTAAATAGCTTTAAGGGTTCAAAGAGGTCTTCTTCTAAAAGTCACACACGTCGTGATCAAATTAAAATACCCTCTGCAAAGCTATTAACAATGTGTAAGAACAAAGAAATCAAGTACAATATGTTACTATTATTAAGAATAAACTAACATTCCTTTTAACTTATCACCGACTCAACGGTTAATTGGTTTCGAATAGTTAACAAAACCTATTTAAAACCAATTTGTAATTCAATTAAAAATTAATATAAAAACAAAAGTGTGATAAGTGTCGGTTACTATAAAATAATTATATACAACACTTCACAAAAACACATTTGGCTTTACCTTTTGCGATATTTCAAAGTGATATTGAATTGCAATCAGCCCAAGAGTTGCGCATACAAATGGCTCATAACATCGAATTTCTATAAACGTGATCAAATTTTTAGCACTGTTTGTCTTCGCTTTTTCTTATTTTTTTTTTTTAGCACTGGTTGAACGATTAACGCACGCCTAAATTGGTGTTGTTAACACTATTGTTTTTGGTGGAAACTCGCGATTCAAATACGAAAACAAAAGCGAAAAAAACGTTACTTGTTGTGCGCCGATTAGGTTCCGTTCGAGGTACCGTTAACGTGCAACGCCGACCAGGAACTAAAATGTGGCCCAAACTGTTGCGACAGGGCAACACAAAACGATTCAGACGAGCCACAGCCGAATGCCGACAACCAACAGCCGACAATCGACGACGAGCTCACGAAGGCAGTGGCGCCTGGCGGCTTCCAGTTGCAACCTGTTCCAGTGAGCAGGTGTTGCCACCTGCTGGTTGGGTGGGTGTTCGAAGGTGGCTGATAACACAGTCAGCTGCCAGCTGCTGGCCAACAGCTGATATGGGCACAATAGCGAGTGGCCTGGGAATAGGAAGCCGCTTGAGACAAACAACGCGAACTGGTACAAAATTTTTTTTTAAAAATCGAAGTTAAACGAAATGTTTGATGACAATGGAATTAAACATCATTCAAGTCAAATCAATCAGTCATATCAAAGGAATAAATTGAAGTTTTTTTCATTAGGAGAAAGTTTTTCTAAATAACACCATTTACACTGTATACTGCTATGAAGCTGAGCTCAGAAGATAATCCATCAATTATATATATATATATTTGTACATTTATCTATACACAATACTTTACCTAGCTGGTTGACTGATTGAACGATTGATGATCAACGCACAGCTCAAGCCCCAAATTTTAATGACCTAAATGACAAGGTATCGGAGAATTCCCCCTGCATAGGTGGAAAATGGATGGATAACAATGAAGATTCGCCTTCAAAGATCCTTAATAAGGTTTAACATTGTGTTGTGGAAAATTACTATTTTAAAATATTTACCTTATGTTGAACATGTCAGTAAAATTTGTTAGATCTACTCCACAAATTCTTTTTAACTGTTTCAGTATATTTTAAAGTTTCTACTTGGATATCCCCAGCATATTCAACTTGACTTTAAACTACATTTTCTATAACAACATATTGCTTCAATTTCAGCTTAACTTTCCCCATATTTTCTAGTACAGCCACTTGCTGCTAAATTAACTACTTTTCCAAATCTACTCCACTTTTTACTGCCTTTTGCACTACAATTACGACTAAAGTTTCCCCTATCACAATACCTTTTTTGCGCTTGCGCCAGCCCAAATTGAACAAGCCCACGCTGGAAAGCCGCTTTCCGGTCCAAAACGAACTGTTGCTCATTTCTGGTCTGAGCTGAGCTGGACAGAACGCGGTACAGAGTCCCGGCGGGCAACCACTTTGCCTGCAATTTCGTACACGTTTACGCTTTACCATTTGCCTTTCTTACATATGAAAACACTTTAGCCGGGCGCCGTGCTCTGGCTGGACATCAATTGCAATTTTTGGGGCACGCCTGCAACGATGTGTCCTGTCAGGCGGGACATATGCTAGACTGGCTACCTTGCGGTTGGGGTTTGGCAAAAGGCTTTTCCATTAGCCGGCGGCTGTGTGTCCAAAATTGAAGTTTGCGTTTTGGTCCAGAGCCTGGCATCAACCTACCGCCCTTTCAGAGATAGGGCAGGAAATTCAAATGCCGCCATGCATAAGCCACACGATGCATTTCCGCTGCCCAATCAAATTTAAAATAATATTAATATCAGCTCTATATTTAATTTGTATGTTGCCCAACAAAAAAGTCGCATTTGAATTTTCATTTCCGTGCGCTTTGGCATGGGAAATATTTTAATTGCATTAAAAGCAATTGAGGCAATTGAAATTGAAAATTGACTGCGATTTTCCAACTAAAACTTTTTCCATTTTACTCTAAATTTATTTTTGATTACTTATTTCTATTCAGGCTTGAACTGATGCCATTCAAAAGTGCGCCCGAATGCCATTCAAAAGCTATTCAAATTGCCGCAGTTTAAATATGATCACACGCACACACACACACACACACACACACACACACACACACACACACGCATGCACACCTTTGGCTATGTTGACCGCAAACGAAAAATCTTCTTGGTTAACCAAAATACCGGTTACCGAAATTGCATGACCAACATCAAGCCGACCCGCAAATCAAACCCTTCTCAATGCAGAACAAGAAGTAATTTGAATAATTTATTTTAGTCTGCGACAATTGCCGAAACCCGACTAGCGAATACCCTATACCCAACACACAAGTGACTTCTAATATTCTATATTATATATGATTCAACATAATGTTTATGGCTTATAAATAATCCATAATAAGTAAAACAAGTAAGAGGCTCTAGTCGAGAGCTCCCGACTAGGGGTTACCCTGAACCCTCCTCTTCCAACAGCAAATGCATATATATATTATATTTTAGAAGCTATATGTCAAGTTTGGTGACTCTAGCTCTTGTTATTTACCAATATTGCCCAAAACACAGGATATCGATATCGATTTTAATCGGTTGCTTGGAAACGGAGTAAGTTATCGATTATCGGAAACAAACTCGATCTGCGCGGGTACTAGGAGCACCTACATCTAAGATTTCAAGTCTCTAGCTCATACGGACAGACGGACAGACAGACAGACGGACATGGCTAGATCGACTCGGCTATTGATGCTGACCAAGAATATATATACTTTATGGGGTCGGAGAAGCCTTCTTCTGCTTGTTACATACATTTGGATTTTGCAGAAATACAATATACCCTTATACCCATTTTTAATGGGTTTAGGGTATAAAAACGAGGAATTGAACTCGATATATATCAATTCTTGGGAAAATTAATGCAGTTATCGAAGGAAATATGCGAGCAATTTTCAGTCCCCACTTCCGACTGTTACGACCATTCACACATTAGCAATATACCCGTCTGCCGAGCGCACAGGGTATTTAAACATGAGCAACAACGAGCATTTTACATTCATTAAAATGAATACAAAACTAACAACAATTTTAAAGTCATGCTCACCTGGGCAAAAGCTTAGCAGACATCACCATAAAGTACTCAAATATATTATGCGGCAGCATGGAAGAGCTCGGTCAGCGACTGCACTTTAAATGGACCCAGACACTGCACCCGTGGCGCTCATTTGCCATTTGGCATTTGCATAGATATTTTGGACTTGTTTTGGGGCTGCTTTAATCAGTCCGCAAATGCAATGAACATAGCCGCAGCGTTAATTAACATTCCTGAGGTGCAACGTGTCTGAAAAATTTCCCTGAAAATGGATATGCGAGTGGGCAAGTATAAACTATATGCGTATATATATATATATATATTTGTATAGCGACTATATAGACGCGTGCGGATATGAGAGTGCCGAAAGTTGGGCGAAATTCTGGAAATGAATGTGGCACTGTGTGGGGGTATTAGTGTGTATGTGTGGTTGGATGCAAGCGCGTGTGTGTGAGTATGTGGCATGCTATTAAAGTCTGGCGTGCAATTAGGGCAACCCGACACGTTGCATTTGGTTTTGCATTTGCCACGCGGCGATTTTCAATTTCTGTTGCCTGCTTTTTGGGGCACTCGCGTTTAAATGGCGCGCAATAAAAACAAATAATTGAATTTATTTTTAAAAGAGACAAACAAAGCAGCAGCAACACGCCAAATCAACAACAATTTTAATCAAATTACATTTGATTTTCCATAACTGTGTGGGAAACGTTAAAAACTCAATTAAAAATATTTTGGCATATGAAACAAATGCAATTAAGCAAATATTTAGAATGAATTTGCGTGCGCGCAAAATTGGTTGGCTTGCATAAAAAAAAAAGTTTTATGTTTGTGTTAAAACCAGGACAAAGTTATTTTTAAAATTAACAATATTTGAGCAATAAATTAAATGGTTTAATTTGGTCAGTTGGAATGGAAGTAAACAACAAATAAAAACTAAAGGAATTAAAATGTATTTATAAATTGATAAATAATGAAATACACTGACAAAAATGCAGATCAACTTAAAAATGAAAAAATTGTTGAACACAATATTATAGGGAATTTGTTAGTGTGTATTCCTGCATGTGGTAAATAATATTTGCCATATATTTGTGGATCTAATGCCGCTTTAATATGCGTCTGCACAATCGTTGGATTGGCAAATCAATTAACTGTGATATCACACACTCGCTTCTTCTTCTTCTTCTGCCTTTTGCCGACACTTTCGAACAACAACAACAACAACAACAATGGCAACAAAAGGCTGCGGTCAGCTATTTGGCATATATGCAAAGTTGACCCGCCACAAAAAGAACCACATTAAATTTTGACATGGGTCCATTATGCGACCATGTGCCAGGCACATGAGACACTCGGGCGCCGACGAAGGCGAGTGTTGAGGCAGGATGTGGGATGCGGGACATGCCGAAAAAGTTTACACTCGACTTGTTGGCGAGTCCTTTCTGGACTTTGTTGTCGTTGTTGTTAATGTTGTTTTTGTGGCTCGCAATGCAGATGCACGGAGCAAGGTGGCCAATTTCAGAATGGATTTGTGGACAACAACAAGCAATCCGCACTTTACACCCCGTCAAGTTTTTAAATATGCATGAACACCTTTTTGGAAGCCCGTTGTGTGGCCAGCGAGCTAGGTGCGGGCTACGCGTTGCGGATGGGGCTGCACACACGGCGTATACTTGATAACACAAATCTCGTTTCAACGTCAACACACACACACAACACAAAGAAAAAGCTGAGCGTGCAAAATGTAAGCGCGTGACACGAACATGCACGTCTCAACACGAAAAATAAATGAATGAATGAAATAGGAGGAACATGGAATAAGAAATAAAGCTACAAAAACTTAAATTCAATACAAATTACAAAATAAAAATAAACATTTGATATAATAACCATTTATATAATCAGACTCAATACATTCAACAGCTAACCTTTTGTTTGCCTAACTAAGAAAAAAAAATGTTTAATCCAAAGGATGAACGTGAAGCTTTAACTGCGGGTTTCGTGATCGTCTCGTGTTATGTTAAAAAAAGGACGGAAAACCCCATTGTGCCCATCTCTAGATAGGAAAAAGTTCAAAGCAAACAAATGTCGTTTCGGAACAGCTATAATGTGCATTATAATTTTCCTGTATTATTTACCTCATGCGACAGAAATTTTAATTAAGTTTTTACAGAACTCGACTCAACGTTGATGCAATTCAATTGAAAGTTTGCTACACCTCAATGGGATGGCTCTATGTAAGTGTGTGTGTGTGTGTATGAGTGTGTGACTGTGAGGACTACTTGCAGGACGATATCCTGGCAGAGCGTATCGCATCGTCTTAGGACAAACGACGCCTGTGCAAATGTGTGCACAAAATTAAAATGTTTACCTTTGTAATGAGCTTAGATGTTTGATGTCTGCCAGCTGCTTATGCCCTGCACAAGCACCTGCCATTATCAACATCATCATCATGACCATGATTATTTCGTTCATCAATCATGCCACAAATGCTGTGCGGTGTATTATAACTGACACAGTTCAAAATGTTGGCTTATATTTAATTTTAAATCGTTTTAAATTGAAATCATTTTCGGAATTAATATTTAATGCAAGGATTTTCAGCATTTAATCTTTGCAGCTTAAAACAAACGAAAATTTGACCCACATCGTTTTGCGTAAAATTTCAATTTTTTTCTCTTTCGCTCTCTCGCTCGCTTCTAATGTTTGCCAATTGTGCGTTTGCCAATTGTGCGTGTGGCTTAATGGCAAGACGTTCGTCCCGAGGGCGAGCAGAAGCCCGCAGGTTCGAAGCTGAGACAACCCCACCAATTTCGCGTATGTATTTATATATATACAAATAACCATAATATCCTTTACCTACTTCTCTTAAGTCCATAATCCATGTGGATGACCATGTTTCTTACTTAAAATGGTGCTTTTGAAAGTCTGCTCAGAATGTTGATTGAGGAATGTTTGGATAATATTCACATTGAATATTCACTGATGCCAGATATTTATAACGATTTGTAAAACAGAGCTGAGCTGTGAGCCGAGGAACTAGTGCAATTCTCTTCAGCTTAAAATTAAGCTGGTTTCTCTCGTAAAGATCAGCCATATATTTAAATAATGGGAGTCTATTCAATCTCCACGCCATCGCGCACATACAAACCTCCAAATGTAAATATAAGATTTAAATTGAATTCTGGCAATTTTTTCCAGTCCAAATGTTGAACTGTGCGTAGCTATGGGTATGTGAGAGTCAATCTGTCCGAATTAAAATGCAGCCCGTAACAGGAGCAACTGGTTGGACACACGTAGTCCACTCGCTAAGTATTTGGCATTGGGTGTGCGTTGCGTGTCAAACTGTTTGGCATGCACAAGTTTCACTTGACAAGTGGGCGTGACGCGTCGGCCATTTGACCAGGCCACTTTCGAGGCAAGGCTCGGTAAATGTTGTCAACAACAACAAGAACATTGCCAGGTGCTCATCAGCCCGCTGTGTGCGCGTGTGCCTGATCAAAGGATTTGAGCTTTCCGCATTGGTAATGCATGCCAGTTGCTGTTTTGTTAATTTTAAATACAATTTCACAGCCACAAAAAACACAGCATTTGGCACGAACCGCCAGTCGATTCCTTACGACCTTTCATCACTGCTCGACTGTTGATTCAATTTTACTTTAGCTACCCACACTAAACGTGAGTAAAGAGTATATTCGACTAAGGAATCTTATCAGATTAACATGTTTAGCTCTAAGCTTTTATCGCGAGAAGTTTAAAATATTTGTCAGCCTTTGCCTAATAGAAACTTTTTCCAACTTATAAGAGAAGCTATGAACACAATCAAAAGTAAACAAAAGTTTTGTACTTACCTAGTAAACTGTCACAGAAAGCAAAAAAAAAAAAAGAGAGAGGGTTCAAACCCCATATTAGAGAGTCCAGTCTACGTAAGAGTTTATCTAAATACATAGTAAATATTACAAATTCTCCAAATATAATCTCCAAAAACCCAAACAGTCAGGCTAAGCAAAGAATAAAAGTTGTTTCGAACCCCATATTAGATTGACTGTTAATGGCAAAGCTGTTTCTTAAATACCTAAAAGTTTATGTTAACAAACAGTAAATATAACAAATGCTCCAAATACAAAGAGTCATAGTAAGCATAAAAAGAAAGCTGGTTCGAACCCCATATAAAAGAGACTTAATGTCCACAATTTCTAATAAAATACAGTACATTTTAAAAACTCTCCAAATGCAATCTGAACTTTTAAAGGGTACCTGCTAGTCGTTTACCATTATGCAACTATAGTGTAAACCTATATAGAGCACATTCCCCCGCACAGTTTATGCACCTCATACCCACTCGTTACATATTTCCTCACACTTCAGCGTCCTCTCACGGCAGCTGTATATATTTTTTTTACCCTTTCGACGGCTGTTATTGTTTTGTCAAAAAGGAGACAACATCTCCGATTCAATAATTGTTAAACATGATAATTAATATTGAACTCTAATTCTAATTCGTAAGCTATCTTGATAAAACTTGGCATAGATATTTCTTTTAGTTATAGACAGTAAATTTGCTTTTATAGCAAATATAAGACAATTCTGGTAGTTTGTTTTTTATAGATAACAAAAATAGGCCATGGAAAAACGAAAAGAAAATTACATTTTTAAATAAGTACAGAGCGAGATTTGTATTAAAAAGCTGAAAATAGTATAACTTTTAGCCACTAAAGCCTTCGCCCAATCCCCGCCGTAACCCATTATCTTTTCATGGCATTAAAACCTTTGTAAGAGTTTCGAATATAATTATATTATGTTGTATTATTATATAAGTTACAGCAAGTTATTAAAATATCAAATGAAAATAAGTCAACTGACTAAAAAAAATGCAACCTAAACTTTGCCTTAGCTCTGTGTGCGTGTGTGTGTATGTGTATATATCCCAAATCTGATATGACAGATAGTGACTGTTAGGGTATTAAATTGTCAGCACTCTGCAGATTGCAGTTTTTTTCTTGTTATTTTTGAGACATTTGCTACACAAAGCAAACGTGCAAAATGTGTTAAAAAGTTGCATGCAGAGCGGAGCAGAAACAGAAGTCGGGCAGCAGCAGCAGCAGCATCATCATCATCATTGTTGTTCCAGTTGTTGTTGTTGTTGTTGTTGTTATTGTTTAATGTTGTTGCTTTTTGCTTGTTTGCGTTTTGCTTTTGAAGTCTCTCACACACACAGACACACAGACACACACCCACGTGCTACGTGCAACTTGCTAAAATTGCGAGAAAATGGAAATTAAATGAACTTGAAATTGTAAGCAGCTCAGATAGAGTGATAGATACACATACATATGTAGAGCAGACGCGTGTGTGCCTGTACTTGGGCTAGGATTACGCTCGCCTAGCTGCCACACAATGTGGCAGCTCGGCGATGACGTTGTATCAACTTTTGCGTAGGTGCTCTCGCTAACCCCAATGCAAAAGTTTTCCGCTAACAACAAAATGCCGACAAGAGGGAAACAAAAAAAAGGGGTTTAGAGGTTTACGAAGGGTTTCATTCGCGCGCGCGCGCTGTAAGGTAGGCAACAGTTTTTAGTAGTTGCTAGTGAAAAATACAGAAAACAGCTCAAAAACATATTTATTCAATAAATATTAATTTAATAGGCTCATAGGCTGTCTAGTTTTGTGAAGATAATCTTGAAAAACAAAAAATTTTCTCTGTTAAGAGCTCATTCCTCGACCGATGCTTCCCATATATTTATACTATACACCCCAATACCATAGTTTTCCATTAACAACAAAATGCGGAATATAGGGAAACCAATAGATGGCCAAAACCATTGACAGATGTTAGTTCGAAGTTAGGAAGGGGTTTAGAAGTTTCAGAAGGGTTTCATTTCCGCGCGCTAAAAAGTAGGCAACAGTTTTGAGCTGCTAACGAAAAATAAAGAAAACAATTCAAATACATATTTATTCAATAAATATTAATTTATTAGGCTCATAACTGCCTAGTTTTGTAAAGATAATCTTGAAAAAAAATCAAACAAAAAGCAAACTTAATTTACATCTATTAAACAATTTCTTTAAATATGCAAATTCCACCTGGAGAAAATCATAATTAAAGCAAATCTCCAACTTAATTTTACAACACTCGTCGCCGATACCGAAACAAGACGATAAAACAATAAAATAAAATGCACAAGCTCAAGAGCTCTCTTGTTCACGTTAACAAAATATATTCATAATCATGTCGCACAGACAAAAACAAAAGATTTGAAACTATTCAAAAGTCGAAATAAAAACACAAAGAGTGTGGTGTGTGTGGCATGTGAATACGTTGATGAAAACATAAACTGCACATCTATCTATTCACTTGCGATTCACGATCAGCAGGCTGATCTCATTCAAGCGATTGATTATATTAAAGCGGCTGCCTGCAAAGCAATTGAATTACAGATTATTTTTTGATATACTCTTTGATATCCACACAAGTAATAGTTACCCATTTTAATCTCAACCAAATCGCCTGTTTTCAAAATGCATCTCTGCATCTCGGCCGAGCCATTGTCCAGCTCAACTTCAAACTCGCCATAGAGCGCTAGAAACCGCTGAACGGAAAAACAAAATGTTATTTTTTTTTATGCACGATATATATTAGAATATATTTTGATACGCACCAAAGTGTTGGACTTGTTGCGTTTCATGCCACGCTGTTGCAGCGGTTGGAAGCGCATGTAGCCCATGGCGCACTTGTCCTCCGTTCCGAAGAACGTGTATTCAATGCCGTCCAAGTTCGTGAACTCCAGGTTAGCCGCCGATGCTGCAAGAAATACGTTTACACTAATATAAGTAATCAGGCTGAAGACAGGATTTGAGCATTTGTTCTGGTTCGAATGTGACGATGGGAGATTCGAATAGAGAATGTCTAAAACTCCGATGCGAGCACAAAACGAAGCTTTGAACTCAAAGCTTCGGTTCAAAGTTGCGGAAAACTACAAAAAACTACAAAAAAACCGCTGGTTCAAATCCAGAAATGGCGACAGAAAATTAGAATACAGAATGTCTGAAACAGGAATTCGAGCCCTTAGAACTCAATGCTTCGGTTCAGAGTTGTGGAATGCTAGCTACACAAAAAAGAGCTGGTTCAAATCCAGAAATGGCGACGGAGATTCGAATAGAGACAGCCCAAAACGATCCTTTCGAATTCAAAGCTTTGGTTCAAAGTTGTAGAAAAGTAGCTTCACGAAAAGGACCTGTTTCAAATCCAGAATTTAAGGAAAGCAGGTTCAATTCACAGCCTATGCTTAGGGGGTCTGAAAACCTAGATTAGGCTGTGAACCTATTAAAGATTATGTATAAAAAAAGGTAACGTACTGTAGCGCATTAAATTGTTCTCTTCTTCACTCGCGACGCTGGCCACAGCCTCAGAGGATTCGGGCGCCGCATCGCCAACACCACGTAGCCAATCCGTCATTTGCAAGAGTTGGTTTTGCGCCGCATTAAGTATGGGCCCCGAAGCTCGATCAGGCGCTGCTCTCGGTTCTGGTTCAGGCTCTGGCTCGTCTGCAGCATAGAATTCCTCTGTGCGTGGCATTGGATCTTCTTCTGATTCTGTTTCTGAAACTGAGTCAAAGTATACTCAAAAATTCTTTTTTTTTCGGGCTCGTGTTTTCAGAGGAATACCATCATTTGACCGCTTATGAGGGTGTCCACATGGTTTTGTTTCTGCCTTGCGTTTGCTTTGCCGTACATCTGATCTCTCCGATTCCATTTGCTGATCCTCTTCTTCGGTTATTTCGGGCAGCTGGGATAAGCCCGCGTCCAGTAGCTCCTGCTGCTGATACCGTTTACGCTTTAGCGTTCCGGAACTGCGTTCTGTGGTCCCGAGCTTTCTGTCATCACGCGGCGTGCTGCTACCGAGCGGCGGTCTCGTAATCAACGAATTGGTGCGATTCTGAGCTGATCTGGCCTTGGACTTATCATTTGAGAACTTGGTATAGGTGGAGAGTGAGCGCTCAAAGAAGGTGAACTTAAAAGGATTGCTGACCGTGTGCACCCAGGTATTACGCAGCGGAACGTGGCCACGCTTCGATCTGCGAACTCCAGCTGGCAATTGAAAAAGAATATAATTATTTGGTTATTTTACTTTAAACTTAGTCACTTTTTAGTTTTACGAATTTGAGATTCCTGTAATAAAAAATTTGTCTTTTTAGCTATAGCTTGATTGCTCAGTCTTGCGATTTGGATTACATTTAGATCAGTCAATCTGTCACTCTGTCAATCAGTCAGTCAATCAGAAATGTTCTAACTTGTATCATTAATAAAGGTCTTAAGAGCTTCTATAAAAATAAAGCTTTCTGGCTATGGCTGCTTATACTGTGTTTCACTCATCAACAAATCAATCAATCTGTCACTCTGTCAATCAGTCATTAATAAAGTTCTTAAGAACTATTTAAACTAAACTTTCTGGCTATGGTTGATTATACTATATTTTACTCAATCAATCAGTCGATCTGTCAATCAGTCAGTCAATCAGACATTGTCTAATTTGTATAATTAGAAAATGTCTTAAGAGCTTTTATGAAAACCTAATCTTTCTGGCTATGGTTGCGCATCAGTCAATCAAACAATCAATCAATCAGTCACGTCAATCAGTCAGTCAGTTAGTCAAACATGTTCATACTTACTTGTTTCATCGTTTTCGATTGTTGCATTCGCGTCCTCCGGCAACGTCTCATTGACGAGTGTAATACGCAGCTTCTCCAATGCGCTGTCCAATGGGTTCTTTCGATTGTTCCTGGGCGGAGGCGCAGATGGTTTTTTGAATAGAGCATCATCTTCCATTGGCTTCTTTTGCTTCTTTGATTTCTGTTGTTTTCTTGTATCCTTTGATTTATTCCTCTTTTGGCTCTCTTCCTGGATCGACAGCTGGAGTGCCTCGCGTGCAGCTCTACTAGTGCTCGGCTGTTCATCTAACGGAATTAGATCCAAGTCTGATGCCTCTGGTGCAGCTGGTGGTGTTGGCGTTTCCATGCGCAACTCCTCCATACACGTGCTGCTCGCCTCTGTATTATTGTTAAGCTGTACCGGCAGCATTAAATTCTCCTCCTCAGCAGCTGCGCCTTGTGCATCTGTGCCTTGCTCTACCTGTTCCTGTTCCTGCTGCTGCTCCTGCTCCTCCTGGGACGGCTGTGACAGAGATCTGCGCGACTGGCGCGTGTATCGAATAGCGGCTGGCGCAGGCGGCACAATTTGTATATCCTCAATAATCTTAGGTTGAGAGCTTCCTGTCAGTTCCTCCGCCTGCTCCTCCTCCGCGTAATTGATTTCTTCCCGAGGCTCTGCATCCACAGCAATAGAATTAAGGCGAACCGACCTGCGCGAACATCGTTTGGCAGCCAGTGAAGGCGGCCTAATAGGTACATCCTCCAATTCTGTAGCTGCATCTGGTGTTTGCTGCACCTCCGCTTCCGCACACAAGAATTCATCTGGTGGTTCCGGCATATATCTCTGACACTGACGCGAGTATCTTAAGGAGGATGGTGGAGACGGTACAATAGGTATTTCCTCGACGGCACCTTCCCCCTGCTGCACCTGGTTTTCCTTCGGAGGCTCTTCGTTCACATCGATAGAACTGAAGCGAACCGATCTGCGCGACTGACGCGAGTATCTTAAGGAGGCTGGCGGAGACGGTACAATAAGTATTTCCTCGATAATCCCAACGGGAGAGCTTTGTGTTTGATCTGGTGCAGCATCTGTCTCCAGCTGCACCTGATTTTCCACTGGCGGCTCTTCGTTCACATTGATAGAACTGAAGCGAACCGATCTGCGCGACTGACGCGAGTAGCGTATGGAGTTTGATGGCGGCGGCACAATGGGTATATCCTGGATGATTGCATGTGGCGACGGTGCGGGTGCGATCTGTAGAGAGCTGTCGCTTAGACGCTTTGGCTGCTTTGGCGGCAACGGCGACAGATTGTCCTCGATGTCCGAGTTGCCCTTGGTGTAAAGACTGCGCTTAGTGTCCGTCCTGGAGCGCGACCTGAGGCGTTTCTCAATAGCTTGCGAGAGCTCCAAATAATTCAATAGCTCAGTGGTCTTTAAAGAGAATTTAAATGGAAATTAAAATATGAAAAGTTAGGTCAGATAAGGTAAACTTACCACGGGTGCGCCACGGCGTCTGGAGCGCGAGAGTCGCGGCGGCTCCATCAGAGTAGAAGTATTAAGCTGTTGCATCGTTAAGCTACGCCTCACTGCTGCGCTTTTGTTGATTCCAGTTGAGTCTGCAGCTGGCGGTGGCAAAGCGTTTAGCTCCAAACTGGGTGCAGTCACTTTGCTGGGCAAACCTTCGCCCTGACCAGACAGATTACGTCGCAATATCTCCATTTGTATGCTCTGCTCCAAGGCCAGCTGCTGCTCCATAATGGACGGCTGCTGCTGCTGCTCCCCGCTCTGCTGATAGATCTGGCCCAATGAATTGCGTTTACGCAAATCGAGTATTTCAAAGTTGCTCATGCGTGCCAATTCGTCGGCAAACTCTTCGCCGTTGATGGCCGGCCGCGGCGGCTTATTGAGCGCCACCTGTGCGATCTTCTGTGTGCGCTGCTCAGGTAAATGATGTGTGCGCGTGCGATGCAAATCGAGCAGCTGCATGGTCGCCTCCTGGCAGGACGACTGCCTACGTCGGCGCTGCAGCCTGGTTGTGTTGCCGCCGGGTGGCGCCAAGTTTAGCGGCGCTGTACTATCCGTGTTCTCAGCGTAGCTCTCGTCGAGCATTGTATCATCCCGAATATTATCCGCACTGCAAGTGGTTTGTATGCCACAACTAACAGCAGCTGCTGCTGATGATCTTGGCGGTGTTGGTGGCGCAGATGACGTCTCCTTTGGTTGTGTTTCCGGCACAATATACTCCGGGTCGGGCTCGACTTGCTGTGACATTCGTGTTGACTCCAGCAGCTCGGATGTGCGTCTCACACGCACTCGAAACGACTGTGGCTGCGACTCCACCTGTGGCTCCTGGGATTGTGTTTCAGACACAATCTGGTCACTTTGCTGTGCTATGCGTATTACTTTCTGCAGCTGTGGTGAGCGTCTCAAACGCACACGAGGTTGTGTTACTACGCATGAATCCGTGCGCGCTGGTGACGGAGCAGTCTTTGCTGCCAACTGTCCCATGGTTGGGCTTTTGCTTGAGGACGCGGGCTCTGTTTCTATGATAAAGGTGCCCCGATTTCCCACTCTAGTTGGAGTCCCGAGACTCTGTGCTGTGTTCGTCGAGGGTCTCTGTGCTGCTGTTGTCTTAGAAGGCCGCTCGGCCTTGCGGTCCATTTGCTTCAGACTTGACTCAAAGCTGATTTCGAAATGGTCATGTTGCGGCTGAGGCTCAAGGGCGGCACCTATTGCTGCTGCTCCTGACGAACGCTGCGGCGAACGCTGCGGCAACCGCTGTGGCATACGCTGCGGCGATTGCTGCGGCTCCTTCTGTTGCTGCGGCAACTGTCTGGTTGCTGGTTTCTCTGAAGCAGGTGTGCTACTAACTGTGGGCAACTGTGAGATTGTCAATTAGTGGGAGCCGATATTGAAACAATGCGAAACTTACAAAATCCAAGGTGCCCGATATCTTGCGAGTCTCATTTACAGCATTGTCGAACTCCTGCTGCAATTCGCGCCGTCCACCCAACTGGGAGCGTCTGTTCAACGCAATACGTCGCAATTTATCAGGCTCGGGCAGGTCGCCTCCGCTGCGAGGCGCTTGGAAGCGTCGAGTGTGCGCAGGCGAGACGCTATGGGAGCGCCGCGACGGTGGTAAATTCTCGCGAGTCGGCGAAATGGGAAATTCGGGTTGCGGCTGTGACTCTGTCACCAAATGCTCCACATTTTCTGTAATGGGTAGGTTAAATGTATCGTGTAACGCTTTATTCGCCAAGCCACTCTCTGTGTACCTTTTGGCTGAGCCTGCTGCTGTTGATGCTTTTCTGGCAGTTTGATCAAGTCGACGTCTAAATCAAATGACACATCGTAGCCGCCAAGCACGTACTGTGGCGTGGCCTTTTGCTTTGGAGCGGTTTTTAGTTTTAGAAACGCAGTCAAACGATTTTCATCTGGGTTATTCTCATTCAGAATGTCATCCAGCTCGCGCATTGTGTCCTCACTTATTAGCGGCCTGCAAAAACAATCTAAGTTAAAGTGTGCTCGGTTATTTAATGTTGCTGCACTTACATGTTGTGTTTTGCGCCTTTTGGCAAATTGTTTATTAATACTTCTTGTAAAGGAATTTGAAACGAAATGTTTAAGTGACGCTGTCGTATTGATGCGCGCTGCTTCAGCTCACTTGCTATCCAACACTGAAATGCAAGACTATCGCTGACAGTACGTAAAACATCGATAAGTTGTTTTCACGGCGTTAAATGTATCGATGATAACGATTAGTGAAATGACACCTACGGTTACAATCAGTGCTGCCAATCGCCACTATAAATAGCTATATAGCAGCACTGGTTATGGTTATGCTAGTAGGATGACACCTGCAATACCAATGCTGTAGGTGTCATACCAGCTTAAGTAGACATTGGGCGCGCTACACAATGAATTTCAATGGAATAAATATACCCCAAAAGCTGGTGCCGCACAACTATTTGCAGCTGGGATTGGCGGCGCAGCGAGGCAGACAACGCCAAGTCAAAGAACTGCTGGAAAAGGTAGCAGCAGAAAAACGTAAAAAATCGAGATAAGAAATTGTTTGTTTTGCAGCGAAAATTGCCAGAGCAGGGTTGGCGGGATGAGGAGATCGAGGAGCTGGTGCACCAGCTGGCCGCATTGGACAGTAACAATTTCGCCCACAATGTGGGCCTCGGCGAGCGGGAGGCGCGCATTGCGTGCAGTAAGTAAAAAATGTGAATTGAATAAAGAAATCTTGCGATTATTCTTGTATAATTCAGAGCTCGTGGCGCGGCGCCATTACAACTTTGGCCATGGCATCGGACGCTCTGGAGATCTGCTGGAGGCACAACCGAAGGCCGCCGGCTCCACGCTGCTGGTCAGTCTAACAAACGCCCTGCTGCTAGATCTGATGCAGACGCTTGGCCTGCACAGCTGTCGCGGCTGCTTTCTGGTGCCCCTGGCGACGGGCATGACGCTGACCTTGTGCCTGCAGGCGCTGCGCAAGCGCCGGCCAAATGCCAAATATGTGCTCTGGTCGCGCATCGATCAGAAGTCCTGCTTTAAGGCTATCACCGCCGCCGGCCTGCAGCCCATTGTTATACCCGTCCAGGTGCTGGCGCACGAGCACGCCTTGGTCACAGATTGCGGCCAGTTCGAGCAGCGCATCCGGGAACTGGGCGCTGCTAATATACTCTGTCTGTACAGCACAACCAGCTGCTTTGCACCGCGCAACTGCGACAGCGTTGTTGAACTGGCAAAGCTGGCCAAAAGCGCGGCTATGCCACATCTGGTCAACAATGCGTATGGACTTCAGTGCGAGGACATCACCGGCCAGCTGGAGCGTGCCCAGCGTGTTGGGCGCATCGATTACATTGTCCAGAGTACGGACAAGAATCTTCTAGTGCCTGTGGGCGGTGCCATAGTGGCCAGCTGCGATGAGCAGCTGCTGCAACATCTGGCCAGCAGCTATGCAGGTCGCGCCAGCAGCTCCCAGACTCTGGACGTATTCATGACGCTCCTCTCACTGGGACGCAGTGGCTACGAGGCTCTGCTTCAAGACCGCCGGCAAAATTTTCAATATCTCAAACAACGGCTGCAACAATTTGCGACAGAGCACGGAGAAATCGTGCCACAGAGCACATTTAATCAGATATCCCTGGCGCTCACCGTGAGCACACTGAGTCGTCATGGCGAGAAGGAGCACAGCGTGACCCAACTGGGCGCCATGCTGCACTCGCGCGGCGTGTCCGGTGTGCGAGTGGTGCCCGTCGGTCAGACCAAATCCATCGATGGCTACGAATTTAAGCGTGGGTATCTGTCAATATACATTAATACATAATAACATAATATACATTATATACATAATCTAAATTATTTATATAACAAATTATACCAATAACAAATTATATATATAAGATAGGGATTCTTTCAGTCAATTTAAATTAATATATTTATTTATTTAATTTGTTATTATTTACAAAGAACAAATCAATAACAAATTAAGTAAAGAAACAAATTAATATATTATTATATATATGCAATTTGATTTCTATTTAATTTTCTTCAGATTTTGGTTCGCATCATGAGCAGATGGAGGTGCCTTATTTAACTGTGGCCGCAGCTCTGGGCATCCGTCGCCCGGAAATCGACAAGTTCTTTGAGATCTTGGACAAATGCTGGACACAGCTCAAAAAGGCACCAGCTTAGCTATTGTTGGTCTGTTGGAATGTATATATCTCTATTCTTAAGTCGAGTGCATAAAAAAAACAATTGTAGCCAACTATAAACAATTCGACTAAGCATAGCTTATATGCTAGTATATGGCTTATATCTATCGATTGCTGGGCTCGTTCTCCTTGTCGTTAATCTTGCGCTGGCGGTCGCGGCTCTTGCGCTGCTGCAGATGCTGCTGCATGGTTGCCTCGATTTGGGTGAGGGAGGTCTGATACTCGAGCTTGATGCGCTCGTATTCGCGCTTCATATGCGCCTCCTTGTCCTCCGCGTACAGCTTGTAATTGTGGGCGGTGCGTTTGGCGCTCTGATACCGCAGCTGTGCGGCACGCATTGCCTCCTCGTGGCTGTCGCGCAGCGATTGGACTTGAGTTCGCCAGTGCTGTTCCACCTGTTCAATGGATTGCTTTTGCTTATCCCATTCGGCCATGACGGTTTTCATGGAGCGTCGCTCAGACTCGATGCTCGCATGCTGCTCGTCTAGATCGCGCAGCAAGTCAGCAATGCGCTGATTCTTCGACTGCAGCTCGCTGCGGCACTTGTGCAGCATTTGCTTCTGCTTGTCCTCCTGCTCGGCCAGCAGTTCCTGCATTTGCTCTCGCTCGGCGAGTATCGTTTGCTTCAGCAGCTCCACCTCCGTTTGGCGCTGCTGCAGATCCCGGCAGACCAATTGATATTCGCGCTGCAGGCACAGGCTGCGCTCCTCCGTCTGCTGAACGCGCTGCGTAAACCGCTTGAGCTCGGCGGCAAATAGCTTGGCCATTTCGTCGCGCACACGCTGCTCGATGCGCTTGATGCGCGCCTGCGTCAGCTCCGGTGAAGCGGGTGACGCCGCCTCGGCTTCATTCGCAACTGCCTGCTTGGGGGAGCTGGCCGCCTTGGCTGCGTCCTGCTGCAGCTGCTGCTCATATAGCTCTGCCTTGACCTTGAGCTCGGCAAGCTGCTTTTCCTGCTCCGCCGCCTGCTGGAGCTTCGCCTCCAGCTCCGTGTGCAGAGCCTGCGCCTGCTGCAGCTCGTTTCTCAGCTCGCTTAGCTCCTTGGCCTGCATAGAGTTCATGTTCTGCAGCTTTAACATTTGGATTTCAAGCTGTAAGTACATTTAGTTAGAGCAGCGCTCGTTTGGAACACTTCACATCCTACCTTGGTTACCTCGGCCAGCTGATCGCTGCACTTGCCGCAATTGCTGGAGCTCTCCTTGGCCGTTTTAAGCACCTCCTCGTGCATTTCGCGCTCCCATTTCTCACGCAGCAGCTGCAGCTCGCGTTCATGTCGCAGCTTCTCCGTGTCGAGTATTTTCGTTAGCTCCTGCGCCTTCAGCTCCGCCAGCTGCACATTGCGCTGCAACTGGGCAATTTGCTGGCGCTGCTCCTGCAGCTCCTTGATGCTATCCGTCTCGCTCAGCTTGCGCAGCTGATAACTCAGCGTCTCCTTATCGTTGGCAATCTCCGTGTAGAGCGTCTTCAGTCGTTCCACCTCGCCCTGCGCATCCTTCAGCAAGATCTTGTGTCGCTCCAGCTCCAGGCGCAAATTGTCCGCGGTGGCCCGCGTGCGCAGCTGTCGATTGTCGTCCGTTAGCTGTTCGTGTTGGCGCCGCAGCTGCTCATGCGCCAGCTGCAGTTGCTCCAAATCAAGCTGTGCCTGCTTCAGCTGCTTATCGACCTTTTGGCGCTCTGTCGTTTGCGCCAACGTCTTCTGCTGCAGTGCATCTCGCTCGGCCAACAGCGCATCCAATTCAGCTTGCAGCTTGGACGCATTGAGCGTTGAGTTGTGCTGGCGTTCGTTCAGCTGCTCCTGCAGCACCCGAATGCGCGTCTCCAGACGCGAATTGTCCTCCTTCAGCGTGGCCAGCTGGACCAGCGTTTTGTTCTCCTCCGCCCGCAAGGTGCTCAGCTCATTGGTGCGCTCGTCCAGTTGTTTCTCTAGCTTGCGCACTTCCTCGCGCTTGTTCTTCAAACTGGCCAGTGCCCGGTAGAGCTCCTGCTTGATGTGTCCCATACGATCGGCAGGATTTAGGGGCGTGCTGCCCATAAGACGGGACGGCAATCTATTTGGCGTCTCCGTTTCGGCCTGATGCTGTTGTATCAGCGTATCCATCAGATCCAGCTCAGCTGTGGTGCCATTAACACGCTCCGTTAGCTGCGCTATGGTCTGCTCCATGCTGGCCACCTGTGCGTGCAGATCGGCTATGCACTGCTGCTGGCACGTGTACTCCGCCTCGTAGTTGGGCTTGGCGGCCAGTTGTTGGAAGCGCCGCTGTGCCACATCCAGCGCGGAGTTGAGTTCATTTATTTTGGCCGCCTTGTCCAGCAGCATGGACTCGTGGCTGGACTGCAGCGCATTGTAGCGCATATGCATTTGATCGAGCTCCTGTTTTTTCTTGTCCAGCTGATCGCTCAGCTGGCTGAGCTGCTGCTGCAGTAGCTCCGTTTGGGCGCGTTGATGCTCCTCCAGCTGCTTGATGCGCATATCTGTGTTGCGATCCTCACGCCTGTGCTGATCCCGCTCGACCATATCATATTTACGCTGCACATCGGCGAGCAGCGTTTGAGCTGTCTCCAGCTGCCCAACCAGCTGGGTGTTCTCCGCCTCCAGCGAACGCTTCTCGCAGCGCAGCTTCTCAATGTTATTGTCCAAATTGGAGCATTTCTCTTTGCTATCCACGAGCAGCTCATGCGTGTGCTGCTTCTCGCGCAGCGCTCGCTCCAGCTCGGCCTGGGATATGGTTAACCGCTTCTGGTACTCATCGACTTTCTTATGCGCCTCCGTGGCCAGCTTATTGATGTTGCTCAGCTCGTGCGTCTTGGACTCCAGCATCATCTTTAGCTTATGCATTTCGCTGGCACTTACAAACTCCTCCTGCTGATGCTGCTGATGTTGGGCGGGGTGTTGCGTAGGCAGAAGCGGCAATTGATGCGTGGGCAACAAATTGGATGGATAATTTGTTGTCGAGTCAATTGTGCT